AACTAGCCTACTGAGCAAGCAGCCGGACGGTACGTACCGCCACGTGCTCTCTCCGAACGGCGCTATTCCGCCTGTGCGACAACTACCGGTCTGCACACGCATTCTTCTCACCACAGCCGCCACAATCATCGCCAAACAAGATCATCCCAAATGCCATGCCGCCAGGGGGCAATCGATTGATACCCCATGCACTTTGGACCTTGTACGGCACCTTGCAGGGCTTAGCACGCAGACTGCGGAAGATCTATGGTGAATTCAACGACTTTTGCCTGCAAACACCTTGCGCAGCAAATCCCCCCGCTGACCGTTGACCGGTGCACACCAGAAAGCTTTCTGGACTCTTTTCATCTTAGACCTATCATTCAGGGCCATTCTCTGAAAACTTTAGAGCGCTACTGCTTTGCACTTGTAGCCCTGTTTGACATGGACCGAAGGCGTCAGCAAGCAAAGAGAAGTGGGGGGTTTTCAACGTAGTAGCTTTTGCGACCAGAATGGGAGTTTTTAGTGAGTGATGCTCATCGCCGGAGGTAGATTGTGCAACCACGCAACTCGCGATGGAGAGGCAGCGCAGCGGGCGAACGAGAGCCTCGACCCACAGGGATTAATGTGGGCCAATGTACCCCCTGGGATGCACAATGGCCCACTTCTTTTCTGTGGCTGCGGTCACCCAGCCACGCTTCCCAGTTCAGGACGCAGCCCTCCTAGATCTTCGGGGCTTCTTCCTGTAGTTCAATGGATATTTACGTTTCCAGGCGAATTCATCCTCATTAGTATCCCTCTTACACGGAAGATGACGCGAGTGGGACGGAGGAGGTCGATGCCGTGGTCGAGCATGTCCAAAAAGACCCCATCTTGCTTCTCCGCCTGCTGCCGTGTTATCGTCGGGTGTGTGCTGCCGAACCGCTGCCTGTTCTTAGCTGACCTTATCGGTCCGGTCTGCGGCAAACGGGCTCGGCGAGCGCCATGGTCGACTTGTCGGCCGCGGACTGAAAGTCTGGCCGTGGCCTGGCCGCGGCAGCGCGCCCGTCTCAATTCTTGTGCGGCCACGATATCACTGATGCTGCATTAGAAATGCCAGGCCAACCTTGATCGTTTACAACTCCTAGGACACTAGCAACGGCGGCTTCCATAGTGTGTGCCTACATGGGTTGCCCGACTTTCGTTGCAGCTATCTCCCTTAATGAGCTAACAGAGTGCGTGTGTCACCCCATCACCGTTCCCATTGATAGGTCAGCGTCAACAGCACGCATCCTTTTCCACGTCAAGCAAGCAATCAAGAGCATCACACCACAACTGTGTGCACCGTCAAACAACGTGCGATGAAGTTACCCTTGTGCCAAGTTTAAGAACACAAACATGCCATTTGAAGTCGTAAATAGCTCCCTGCCAGACATGAATCTGTTCGAATGGTAGTGTGCATGCCACAGCGCGCCGACCTACCCCTCAATCTCTGCGGACATTCGAAAAGAATAAATCCCCTTTCTTTATCACGATGCACCGGGCTTGTACTAGTCGAGTAATCCGGTCCAACGGTTCCATCATTTTGTCTACCAACCGGAGAAGACTTGCGTGGACGTGCTCCACATTGTCGCGGCCGGTTTGGATGTCTTTAGCATTGGATACCATCTCTTCGTTGAGATCAAACATCGCACTCGTCGTTTCTTCTAGCGCGTTGCGTTGCGCCCGTCCAGGATTTTGGAAATGGGAACCGCGGCATCGGTGTTGCAGCAAGAACTCTGCAAATGAGATTTTGCTAGCGTGCAGGTGGTCTGCTTCATGCTTAGCGAACCGTTGCTCTTCAAAAGATTCTCGTACATACGCTCGCTGTTCTCTGCTGGCTCGTTAGGATCAGGTGGGAGATGGCCGAGGTGGTCGCTGGGAAGCAACAACTCCCATGCCGCACCAAGAAGCGAAGTCATTATATTGCGCCACAAGACGATCGTTATCTTGTGCGGCAGCGGTCTCTGGGCGGAAATGTGCATGGCCCAAACGAATATGGAAATTTCGGAATCTTCGCGGTTCTCAACCTCAGACGCATGCCGCATTTAAGAGCCCCTCTGTCTTCGTAACCAGCATATAATCCGAGCAAGTAGTGCTTCTAGACCTTCGAAATCACCTCACTAGCGTGGAGGACCACAGAGGTAGGCGAAGAACCAATAAAAAAAAATAGGACTTCAGAAAGCCCTCCCAATTCGATCGAGTTTCAACAATCTCTATCTATCACCCGACGCGAATAGGACCATCATCTGTTTGGAAAGTCTAATCGAAGCAGCCAACCCATCGTAGGCCCCGCGTTGTTCTAGGATGCACAATCCGCCAAGCTCCCTCAAGTCGATCAGACGAGTCACCAGTCCGCAGGCCAGGCAGACAACTCCAATCCGTGTGTCCATGCACGAGACGTAGATGTCCTTGACTTTGACAAACTCCTCGGCCGCGTTGACGCCCATCGTATGCTGCTGTCTTTTACCCGGGGGCAAGATGTTTGCCGTTTAGGAAGTTGCCTAGATAACTGCTAGTGCTACGGACGAATCTGTTTCCGCAGAAGAAGTCGCTGGGATGCCTGCTGATAATAATAGGAACAAAGACTTTTTGTTAGACAGTCTATTGTGAAATCAAGTTGCTTTCTCGACATCTTTGAGAGTGATCCCAACCTTGTGACGGTGTTAGACCTTGAAGACGCGGCGACCCTCAGCAAAATTGCACAGAATTTGGGAGGTGGACGAGCACAGTCTCGGCGACGTAGAAGGCGGCCTCGCACTTGACGGTGATGTTCCGTGGCAGGTGCAGATGGGAGACGATATCGAATTCGCTCCTGCGTGACGGGAGCAGCCACGGTGGCCGGCACCTTGCCCCTGCGATGTGGAAGCCGTGGTTGAATTGACGGGCGCAGCGTGCATCCTACAGAGAAGGTGCTGCCAATGCCCTCCCAGCTTGATCTTTGTTTCGGATATTGTCGGTTTTCAACAGCAACTCCCTCGACAGTTGCAAACAGTTGTGATTGGGTTTGGATTGAGGGCTTGCAACGTAGGGTGGAAAGCAGCGTGGTGATGATGATGTGTAGCTGCAGGTGCAGCCAGCTTGATGATGGGGAGATTCAGCCAAGTATTGTTATGAAAGAAAGGAAGGTGCGCCGATTCAGAGCCTGCCTACACCACGTCGACCGCCTCCATTATCTCCCAATGGACAGGCTGCCTGGTAGGGCTGCCGTCAATCGCGCGTTGAATATCTGCGGATAACGACCGTCCTCGTCCCATCTCCCCAGCCCGATAGGCTTGGACTCTCGATTTGATGCATGCCAGAACACTTGAGCTTCTCTCCATTCTGTGACAAACCATTAGTCAAGTCCTCTACACCTTTTCACGGAATCTCGTCGTGGAGTCTCCGCGTGCCTTGCGACAAACAACAAATGCCCGTCATAGACAAAGATCTTCTTCATAATCACCTTGGAGCCCTGGCTGCTAGCGCCAACACCCAGCAGCAGTAACAGCAAGACCACTTGCGATGCGATCAGCTTGAGCTGTGGTGCCGGCTGCAGCAGACGAATGTGATGCATGGGCTGACTGCCGTGTCATGGATCGCCCTGACAGCAATAACAGCGATAACTGACACGAATCTGGGTTGACTATGAGTCTTGGGAGCGAGGTTTTCCTCGCAGGCTGCCCCGGAACGGCCGTGATGAACGAAAAGCTATTGGGATCGTGGCTTATGAACGAACGACTCCCGAGCCAGGGATGCTGGCGGAAAAGAGAGCAGTTGAGGCTACAATATAGACAGCGGTGGCAATGATTTCCAGCTGTGTATGATTCCCGGGCAGGAAGTTGTTCAAAGAGCAGAAGCCGTTGGTCCGGACGGGAGACCGGCGGCAGCTACTTGTGAGGATGTCGAGGATAGACAAATGGTGTTGTCTTGCAAGCATCGTTTCGGCACGCGCGCAAGATGATGGAAAATCGCACGGGTGGGACTGACATTGGGATTGCTGTGCTGCAGACAGCAGAAGGCGGGCCAAGGGAATCTGTGGTGGTTCGGTACCTTACTCTCCTGCAGGGCGTGGAGTCGGCTTAGACAATTTGACGTGCTGGGATATTCCCTGGGCAATAACTCACCTTACCCACCCCGCTCATTCCTGGATGCATCATGGCCTGCCCCACCAAACATGGATGGCGCCACGGACCACGAGCATGCACCTGCAACACGTGGTTTCAGCATGACTGCCTGCCTAGGTCAGGGTCGCGTTTTCCGCGTCCATGTTCATTTTGTCGCGTGCGCGAAACGACTCACGCAGACAGAAGCCTTGCATCGTGGTCGTGGTCGTGGTCGTGGCCGGTTCCGTCGATCCAATCCTATCATGCGTACTGCCCATGATTGATTTGAGGCAGCAGGCAATGAATTATCGGCGCATAATACCCTAACCATGCATTCAATGCCCTGATGATGTTGTGCTAGGCGGAGGGTGGGCATAGCTTTCGCCGTAGGAGAGAGAACGACGGTGCTTAAGTAGGCGTGGTGACTGCCTCCCTTAGCTGGTACGTACCCGCTTTTTTTAAGTGGCAGCTTTGTTAAGTAAGGTAGGTAGGGCCTTTTCGAATAGTGGGAGCTTTCCGCTGGGCGGGTACCCACCATCGGCCTTCACACTTCCTGCAGGCACCCGTCGACTCGAAAAGAAGCAAGAAAAATTGTTCTGCTGGTGTTTTTTTCTCTCCTGCCTCCTAAGTACCTCCCTCCACGCGACGAGTTTCCTCCAATTTCTTTCTTTTTGTCGTCATCTCCTTACTCTTTTGTCCGTTCTTTGATGCTCGGCCCCCGCGACCCCGACGCACCGGCTTTGCGACGCGTCCATATGTAGCTCTTCAGCGCCCTCTTCTACCTTACCGTGTATTCTTCGACGAGCCGCGAAGCGCCACGGCCTTTTTCTCGGGCGCGTCAATCTCAGTCTCTGGTGTTGCAAGCACCTCGCTTGCCTCGCATTCCCCACGCCTCAAAAACTGGTCCGTCGCCCCGGGATGTCCGCTCTCGACGCCATCGGGCCCGTTTGTGGCCACGCAATCGATCAAGACGTTGCCAATGCAGCCTCAAATGCCTCAATTAATGCCTCGGATCTCCTGGATCAAGAGCTCGGTCGCAAACTGGAGACCCCGCTGGACGAGCGCGGCGAAATCGTCCTGGCACAGCGTCAGTCCTTCCTCCGTCTCGCGGCACTCTTTCCATTTGCTCTGCCCTTTCGCTGCATGTTCCAAGCTCAAACTAACTTGCATCTCCAGTCCAGGCTTTCGAATTGGTACGATTCACGAATGCCGATGCGCTCGGAACGATGGCCGCGCCCAGTTCCGATTCTCGTACCCCGCCGACCATGGCCAAGCCCTGCACGATTGGATAGAGGAAGAGTTTGCGCTTGCTGTGGATGAGGAAAAGGTCTTCCAATTCTGGGACGACGTCAAGAGCAAGGGCAGCACGCGATCGGAGACGTTGAACAACACAGACAACCTTTACTACGTTTGGAGAATCGTCGACCACCGCCGACATGCCGCCGCCCCGAACCACGAGCCTGGCGAGCTCAAGGTACAATGGGTTGGACACAGGGAAGATGAGGCCGTCTAGGAAAAAGCCACCCCCGCGTTTATTGATACCATTCCTGGCTCCTTATTCAACGACTACCTCGCCTGCCACAACCTGACGCGCATGCTGCGAACGAGGAAGAAGACTGGCAGAAAACCGAAGGCCAAAGCTCGGAACGGAAGCATTGCCGCCAAACAGCATCCTCGACGAAGCTCGGTCTCCGTTGACCATCGCAACCAGTCCGACGAGAGTACTATTCACCCCAATCACGGCGATGTTCCTCGAAGCCCCTCCTTCGCAGGATACCCTGGCATTGGTGGTCTCCCGGCTTCTGGTCATGGACCCAACATCCCGGACTGCTCCTCCGGTTGCCACCAACAAGAAGCCTCCATACTTTCAGTGGCAGAAAGCCCCCGCGGATGGAGCGGCCCAGGATTACGTGTCAACATGATGTCCGGACAGATCGAATACAATGCCTTGACGGCGACCGGAACTTCCTACGCCGACGAGACCAGCCTCATCAATCAAATCAACGACATGAGACTGTCCCCCGAGAGTGCATTGGCAGAAAAGACCATTCAAGTTGAGATTTTAGGACGGGAGCTAAGAAGACAGGCGGAACAAAGCGTCGAGGAGCGGCGGCAGGCATTCGAAGATCGGGAGAAGTTCAAAGTGGCCGAGACAGAGACCCGGAGGCTGTCGATGCAGCTTGACAGGGCAAATGGGTACATCGCTGAGTTGGAGGCGCGGAACAGCATGCTCCGTCAGCAGCTTCAGCGTGCAGATGTTCAAGTAGATGGCTGAGCACGGCTGGCTCAGGCAAGGTGGCAAATGCCAGGTCATTGATGCGCGAAGCTTTTTTACCATCGCCAGCATGGCTATTTGATGCCAGGATCAAGCTCAAGGCACCGCTGACAGGGTAGTTAGGGGATTTGGAAAATGTACTCCATGATACGGAGATGACTAGATGGATATCTAGTGTTTCTAAATCATCTGTTGTAACGAGTGACTTGATAATTTTTTGTCTGTTGCCTGTATTTGCCTTCGTGACGGGATGGATCCAAATCTCGAGTCGCTCGCTGCAAGGGCTTGCTGCTGCTGCTGCGCCGAAGGTCACAGAAGATTTGCGCGATGATCCCTGCGACTCCAATATTATGGCACGGCGCACTGTGAAAGGAGAAGGACTCATTTCTTGGTAATGCTCCCGATGGGCGGTGGAGGGCATTCATTGAGGCTGGTCAGAATCCCGCTGCCTCTGACTCTGCCGTCTGGTGTTCGACGTTCATGTGGCTTACCGCGCCTGACATGGGTCTAGAGGTCGGGTAGGCCCCTTGTGCGTTCTTAACACCCACAAGTGTGAGCTTTTATGCATTTGGAAAGCCTCCACCCCAAACACTTCGCGGTGCACATATGCGCGGCTGTCATCTTTGTCGTTGGCATTATTGGTGCCGCTTCACGGAAGTTTTCTTAGGGGAATGGCTGGCCGTTACTTGAATACAAGCCTTCAATGCCTTTGTGCAGTCAAAATCGTTGTCGTTTGGATTTCGACGAGCTTGTACCCAACGATTTCTCTGTAGGCCACACCGCTTCACTATCCATACACACACAGGTACTTCAACTCCACGCACATTAAGTTCAGCCTATTCGTTGCTATACACACAAATGACAACCCATAAGGAGTGAACTCATAAAAATGAGTGACCGTTTACCAGTCTGATGTTGCTTTTGTTAGGGTCCTCGTAGACCTTTTCGATCTTTTTGGGCAGCACGCAAAAGTGGTGTGCATGTAGTCGTTGGATATAGGCAGGGGTTATTGAGCATCATCATTAACGGCCATGCAATTAACTAACACCACATCGACAGCTTTACCGAGGTCTCAGCTGACTCCCTCGAAAGGGCAGGCTCTGGCGTGGACAGCAAACCATGAGCAGAGCATAAGAGGGGCATGCTATAGGTGGAAAGTTACAGCCCAAGGGAGAGGGACGCCAGTGGTGAGGCCTGTCCGCCAATGTGTCAGTCGGCAGACGGGCGTCTGGCCACAGATGGACGTGCTGAACTGAGAACCCCCGTCCGTCGCCGAGTGAATTATCTCGCAGACCTTGAGGCACAAGTCAGACGATGGATACAAAGAAAGCAGCCCATCGCGGCCAAGAAGCCTCGCATATAGGTGGAAAAGGCCAATTCTGACGCCACTGGGCATCCCTATAAGGTCACCATGCAGACAGCGGGCCGAATCGAGCAACACCCTTCAGCCCAAAACACTTGTCTCATCGACATAGTTGAATGACCTTTGCAGTGCAATTCACAAGCTTATGGGGACAATGGCCATCGATACGGGGGCTTGAACAAACTGTTACCCTCCGATTACCAAGTCAAGGCACATATCACTCGTTCCGTGGCCAAGTGCGACAAAGTCCTACTGCCGATGTTTCTTGCTGTCTGTCATCAGTCATTGGTCGTCCTCGAGACACGGGATCAATCGGGAACTACTATGGACGCGTCGGACACGCTCGTCCCTTAGGGCCACAGCAACCAGATGGCGAACATCGCCGTCAGCTTCATCGAACAGTATCTTCCAAACACCCCTAAACACCCCCACACACTATTGAAGCAGTCCTCTGTCGCGAGCAAGACAACGGACTTGGTTGCGGTGTCTCCGTCTTTGCTTTGGCGATGCATATCCTCGTCAGAAGGCCTTTCCGCAAACTACTTGATGCGGAGCTTTGGCGATGTGTGATGGCCACCCTTTTAGGCGTCACCCTCAATGACTGGACCATAGTCAGTCCCAGGATCCAACAAAACTTCGTTCCGTTCTCCATTCCAGGTTAGATAGCGACTGCTGATGCCCTTGACGAGGCGACTGTGGCTTTTGGACACTGGCAGATGAAAACAAAGTACTCGCTAGTAGCTTTCATGAGTAGTGAGGTATGCAGACTGGAGCTCACACGTGTAGAAATGAACCCCGCTTTCCGCATTGTGTCCAGAGTCTTAGACGTGGGGGCTGTCCATGCAGGGAGGGCCAAGAAACAGGAGAATCGGGATGTAATATTGCATCCACGGTCTCACGACGCACGTCTCGCGCAAAACACACAGTTTCGGCCCAGCTCAAGGCTGGAGAGTCTGGAAAGGTTGTTGCAGCTCGTCGCAAAGCAAATAGACCAAGCTCAAAGCGAGCTACTGGGCATGGCGCGCATGAGAAATCGAGCTGCTAGTCACAATAAATGATATGCAAACAATGATATGAGTTAGAGATTGGGCTTGCTCTATTATTTGAGTCTAGACCTAACGTTGTTGGAGGTTTATTTCTGGCTTTCCTTTTTCTCAGCCTTTTGATTTAGCTTCTTCCAAAGCGCCTTTTGCTTCGTGCCGCTTCAGAATACACCGAAATCAACATTGGGCACACCGACATGTTTAAAGTCACGCCAGAAACCCCGGGGGCGGACATAAATACGGATTCATCTCTTTCAACAGACGTAAGCATGCTTCATACCATGCCCGATTATATTTGACGATGTCCTAGTGAAAACACCCGCTTCAATTGCTGGGGATGTGAATTCGATAACCTCACGGTTCCAATTGCTACGACTGTGCTCTGGCTTCAAAGGTCAGAAATGAACTCAAACTGTTGGTATTCAGGTAAAACAAAGATGCTTCCTGTGGTTGTCTTTCCTCCCCTGTCTCACGCTGAGACATGCCTTTTGTGGACTCAAAGATCGGCGGGCGCCTGCCCTTGTCTTATTTGCCGATCAAAACAGGGTCACCAGTAGCTGCCAGTATGATGGTGTTCTTTATAAACGTATCCTTGGTGTTGCGAGTCCGTGTCCTTCTTTATCTCCAGCTTCTGCGCCTGTGTGTTAGGGGAATCGTGCTTGAAGTTGATTGGCCTAGTGTTGCTACCAGCTAGGCTTCCCAGAAGGATGACATCTACAACTCGATATTGCGACGAACGAGGCAGAAGATGTCAAACAGAAGCTCCCACCGATTGGAAGTCTAGTGCATTATTGGATTGGGAAGGACATTGTCGCTGAATGGCACGAGGATCCGGCCGATCGTGTCTGCCGCGCCGCGATGGTGTTTCGATTTTCAGTAAATACATCAGCAAACTCATGAGGCCAGTCAGATTCCTTCCGCCGCCATTCTTCCTCGTAGGATCGTTTCCGACTCATGTCCACGTTGTGCTCTTTTGAGGCTACTGACGCCGTCCAGCAAGTTGTAGGTCTATAGCGAGTAAACAGCAAGGGGGCAAATCCAGTGATTTGTTCTAACGTTGATCATTTTGATGCATCGCCAATCAGTTGTTCCTGCGAGGTTGACTTGGCCGTCTCTGCGTAGTCCCCTCGAGGCGTCTTTGGGCGTTGCGAATGGGTTTTAGCAAAGCACACATGCAACTGCATTGCGCGTGACAGACACGGATGGCCTTTCACGTAGTAGTCGACGATATCACGACGAGATGTTGGCTACTGCAGGTCTTTGTAGCTGCGTGGCTTCCGTGCATGAAACTGACAGCAGGGCATGTTACAGACGATTGAGAAAGACGATATCCGCAAGAATTGCAGCTCAATTGCCCCCGATCTGCAATTCAAGATATTGATGCAAGGGGGGGGGCGTAACAGGCCCGATGGCCCTATTAACAACATGATTACATGGATGGATGAAAGAGTCAAAGACAACGTCAACCGTGGTGCCCGAAAGAAGGATGGCAAGCGCGAATGCTTTCGTACATCAGCACCTTTTTGCTGGCTGTGCTTTTTGACGCCTACCTGACATGTTCGCGGGCGCATACAATGAATTGAAGACTGTTTCACCATGTGACCAGGTTACACCAGGTAGAAAGACATATGATGATCTGAAGCAAGTATTACTGGCTTGTCATGGCGGATTTTCTCAGACAGCCGTGGAGCGTGCTTTGCCTATTTCATGCATCCTATATCAACTGTCGAAGGGAGGCGGCCATCCAAGCACACGGTTGAGGTCGTTGTCACTTTAGTTTGGCAGAAATCATAGCGTGATCTGCCATTGATGGATCCCTGACGAGGTGGCGCAAGGGACAACGAGAAGATGTTGAGCCTTCTACATGTTCATCCCCTTGCCTCTGCCACGCGTCAGACTCCTCAAGGCTGGAAGAACAGATTTTATTGTTGCATTCAGGCATTCTGTTCGTCAAGGGCTGCTTTGCGGCAACAAGATGGGTCCTTAGAAAAAGTGAGTAGCGACCTGCAGTTGAGCAGGATCCATCAAAGAAATATCATCTGCAGAGTTGCCAGTCTGGACGTATACTCTCACTGACGTCGGTGATATCATTATGGAGAAAGCAGACACTATGGACATCAATTGTGCTTGGTGCAAACGGGTGCTTTGGTGGCAAACAAGAGCCATTGGGGATCATCGAGGGAGGTCTAGAGAGCTCTGATGAAATGCCGGTGGACGACAGGCTGAAGAGAAGCGCTCCTTCGTCCAGTGAGCCGTGGGGACTAATGGTGCTGGGGCATAGAACGGCAAAAAGACCGTCAACGTGAAATGATCTTGGCGGAAAGAGATTGAGTGTGTTTGTCTAATGATGTTCGACGAAATCTTCGGGGGCCTTTCACGCAATACGCGTTGATAATTGATCGCTACGTGGAGTACAAAACCAGAACATTCTGCAAAAAAAGTGTCCCTGTAGCTACCATGATCATTCCATCCTTGCAAACGCCCTTATGGGCTACATTACCATGCTAATTATCCGGTCAGACCCATCCATCTGTACATTACTAGGAGTGAAATCGCATCGCTTTGACTGCGGCAGCAGCAGCAGTCGACCTTTGGCAACTCCGTCAAACTGACCATCGTTACCGCCCCCGCTCTGTCTCCCAAATATCCGTAAACAGCTGACGGCCGATGAAGAAGGCCATTTCGACGGTGAGGGCCACCCAGCTCTCCCAGTCCCATTCATTTGCCAAAGCTCGGAGGCGGACGCGTTCCATCTCGTCCTCGTCGAATGCCAAGGCGGGATGGTGGCCTCGGCGGACAGCAGCACAGAACCGGTACCAGATACTGGCGGGGGTCGTCGTCACGGCACTCTAGGCTGTGATGTGGTCGTCCGAGGCGCTGCTGCGTCTGCGCCTGTCTGGGCCGAGGTGGGGCTGCGGCAGGGCGATGCTCGATAGATCCGTGTCTCTTTCGACGAGTAAGAAGGCAGGAGGGTCGTCATCAGAAGACACTGACATGACAGAAGAGTGCGACAAGATGGGCGAGGGTCTTCCGAAGCGAACAGTGCGGGTCCTGTGTGGCATTGCGTCGGTTGATCGGACAATTGAATGAGGGAGGAGCGGTCAGCCCTGCTCAAATTGGCAGTTAGCATTTGTTCCTTTTCAATGGTCTTGAAGAAGGGCGATACAAACCAAGCCGAATAGGTTCTGTTATCGAAACGTTGAAGAGTTTGTCGATCTCTTCGAGGTTGACGTGTGTCTTGTACCGACGGATGTTTTGCTGAAGTGTGAATGTGGTGTTTTCCGGTAGTTGCGGCCCGTTCACGTCGCAGGGATTGGCAGTTGCCTTTCGTGGACTTAGAGGCAACCGCCTGCCTAAGGTACTGTTAGGTACCGACCGCCATTTCGGGTGCTGAAATCGGCAGCTGACCTCTGGAGGCAGGCACCTCTTGAGGCAGGGACACAGGTGCTCCTTCCGAACGGCCCCGACATGGGCAAAATCCCTTCAAGCGAATACTGACACAACGACGCGATGCATTGCCAGAGACCAATGATTGAGTGTGATAGCATGCGCCATCACGGAATTGATTCCTCACGCCTCAGGTCCAGATGCTGCCCCCAGCGGCGGCCGGTCACAATTTGAAATTGCCTTGAAGCAGCGCTTCAAAGTAGCGTAGCGAACTCTGCGATGGGGCCAACTCCAATGAAGGGCTGCTGAGGGGGCCAGAGAGGGACAGTTAAATCAGATCAACTCAATATAGCAGTAAAACTTTGCGATGCACCGCTATCTGCTGCAGGTTTGGAAACAAAGCATAATGAACGTCATACCTGCATTCATATTACATTACTTGATCCATTGGAAATGCAGTGAGAACAGCCAGTCCATTGGAGTTAAAGGCTATTGCGGCTTGGCTGTGAGCCTTCCGGTTCTCAAAGGCTGATGCTGGTATAAGTTAGTTTGTAATCGTCGTGTTCTGAGGTTATTCATTCATGAAAACGTTCGAAAGTTGGTATTCATAACATAACCTGCCAGAACTTAAATTCTCTCATGATGATTTTTGAAATCCCAAGATGAAAGGATCTCTTGTCAGCCTGTTATTATACATTGCATAACTGGCACAAGCTTGCCGAGGAACATCACAATAAAGCACCTCAGAAACATCATAAAAGCTTACAAGGTGCTGCGTCTCACTTGTAGGTCTCGTCATGGCTCTCAATGCTGTTGTCTGCTTCCTCACTACTACTATTCTATCGATATTTCAAGCGCTGTGTAAGAAGGGATATCAGCCGCTGGGAAGATTGCAATCTTTTCTTGTACGCCCAAGAATATGCATGCTTATGAAGCACATCTACCCGCAGCAGAACGAAGCTCGCAGCACCACATTTCAATGACTTCATATCGCCACTGGATGAGACCGGAATGATTCGGGTGCCAAACCTCTTGTGCATATTCTCACGCCTACATGCGCCCAGATTGACAGCCAATTTATAAAACCACCTTGCCAAAGCTTCAATATCCACGCTCCGACGAAGAGAATAAGGTGACTTTCTCAAAAATCAGGTTGTGCAAGAGAAGCCGGACTACTTGAGAGAGTGCATGAGGCACGCCTGGCTGCGGCTAGTGTGCAGAGAGACCGCCAGGATCGCGTTGCAACCGGGATGCCAATCATTCATCCCCCTGACTGAGCGCGCCGCGAGGCACCCATGTCTATGCGCAGAATTATGGCCCCGGCGGTATTGCAAGAGCCAATCCTACATCTCTGATTGCCTCTCACACAATCCCATCATACAGGCTCCCCCACTAAACACCTCTGACGAAAAGTTGCAGGACATTAAGAAGATATCCACGAGCTTCGCTTCCGAGACGCAACGCCAACGCAGTAGTAATACCCGAGCCAAAGGCCACTACAGTCACTACCAACAGCTGGGTTCCAGGAGTAACTTCATTCAGAGGGGTCAGCAACAGTTCTTGATGCATCAAAGGAGTCTGGTCGATGAGCTGGGGGAGACGAGACGAGAACTTACAATTGACCGAGAGTGAAAGCGCCGTTATGAGTGTCGACGATCTTCTGGCAAAAGTCTCCCGAGACGGCTTGGTACCATCGGTTGCAGTTCGTCACGATTCCAGCCTGTGTGGGCGTCGGTCCTGTCGGCGGTGCGCTCGTGCTGGTAGTTGGTGTTGGTTGGGGTGACATGCCTGGCACGCCTACGCAAACATAGTATCCGAGCCAGAGTCCGGTGCAGGCGGAGCCAACAGCAGGGTTCCATCGGTAGCTGTGATAGTGTCAGTGTCATTTCAGAGGTCCACATGTGCCGTACGACTATCACATAGGGTCGTGTCATTGTACACTTACAAGTTTGCCAAGCTGATACCATACTGGTTTGCGACGATTTCACACGTGTTGCCTGACTCAACCAAATGAAATTTGTTGCCTGCAAATAGGTCAGACGGCTTTACACGTTACCTGAGCGAAGATAAAAACTCACAAGACTCAATAAGTCCGGCCTGGGTAGGCGACGGAGGACTAGGTCCGCTAGTGGCTGTTGGAGTCACGGACGGAGGCCTTGTCGACGTGCCGGGCACAGCGATGCAGACGTAGTAGCCGAGCCAAAGTCCCGAACAGGCGGAACCAACAGCAGGATTCCATTCATAGCTATCGTCTGAATCAGTAATCTTGTTGACACATAGGACGATGTGGCTTACAAATCCGACAAGCTGATGCCATATTGAGTCGTGATCGCATCGCAGGTGTTTCCAGACTCTACTAAGTGGAACCGTTGGCCTGAGGTATGTTAGCTGAGTAGTGACTATTATTGTGCGAAATCTTACAAGATGAGATCAGTCCCGGCTGCGTTGGTGACGGGGGACTTGGTCCGCCTGTGGCGGAAGGGCTCGCTGTTGGTGCAGCCGTTGGGGTGCCGGGGATTCCGACACAAACGAAGTATCCAAGCCAGAGACCGGTGCAAGCGTTGCCAACCGCTGGGTTCCAAGCATAGCTATAAAACTTGTTAGTCAGGCTGCTCTGGACTCATCTTGGATTGACAAATGGGCCTGGGACCGCTCACAATTCCGTAAGGCTGAAGGCGTTGTTATGCTTGCTGGCGATAACTTCACACGTATCGCCGGAGACGACCTGATAAAATGAGGTACCTGCAACGTTCAATAGGATATTCTTCTTCGAACCAAAGTTGAAAACAACTCACATGTCTCAATAAGTCCCGGCTGAGTTGGCGAAGGGACAGAGGGGCCTGAAGTCGTTGAAGACGCACTGGTGGACGTGGCGGTTACGGATGCCACGGTAGAAGTTGTTCCGGGTCCAACCTCTCCCTCAACGCAGTATTCCACGCCAGGAGTGAGTCCGTTCTCGCAGTTGGGTCCAACGGAAGGGTTCAGTGTGAGGAATTGAGACAAGGGTATGCCCCAGTCCGACGACATGGACTCGCATGTCTCGCCCTCCACAGCCGCCCAGGTGAACGTGCATGCGCGAGTCCGTAGGGTTGCGGCCACTGTCAGAGAGCTGCTGAGCCCTAGCATGAGGGTCAAGGACCAGTTCAAGGACTTCATAATGACAGATGAAGTGTGTGCAATGAGGTGGGGGGATATGAGAGGGAGCGACGAGAAGAGAAGAAGCCTCAACGGACCAACTTGAGTGAGTTGGTGGGTTTCGATCTGGCCTAGGATGCACGGCAGGTTCGCCCTGTCTTTGGGCGTCGAGTTAACTTCTATTATTATTATGAGGCCATGAGAGTTGCCCGGAAGGAACAGGAGATTGGCGCTTGCCCAACGTAACGCTGTTGCCTGCAGCAAAGAACACATTTTTTTCTCATCAACGCCTCGTTCGTGCCTTGAGGAACTTGGAGGGTCGAGCCAAGCCAATAGTCATACTAATTACATGCTGCTATGACAATATTGAACTCATAATGTTAGTTGTCTGCTGATCTATGTGCCTCTCTTTTGCAGTAGTCATGTCCAGTGACAGGGGAGCTTGGCTGGCCCAATCATGTAGCTGACTGTGGGTCGAAGCCAGTCTTTTACTGTTGTATTCTTCTCCACCGCAAATATCCGTTCATGCAGCGGCTAAGACGGCGGAATCCTTCGTTGCCTCCTTGGCGCATCGGACGAATGTCTTTGTTTCTGGCGAGGCTACATATCACTTTAAACCCAAGAAGACAACATCTTGCCTGCATGACAAGGCTTGGTGGCTGTGCCTCGCAGGAAATCAAGATTAAATTACTCACACACTATCATGCAATGTAATGAGCCGTCCAACGTGCTGGTGATCCTGCAGGTTGTGCACCCACCAAACGCCATTTGAGGGGGGGATTGAGCAGGATCCAGTCATTTTTGCCGATGCGTGTCACTGGTTGGAACTTATCCAGCGAAGCCTTGTACAGTTGGCGCGAATACATCTAGTCAAACCATCATTCGCGGTTTTTGTTAACTCTGACTTCGAGGCCTACGTCCGAATTTCGTTTTCACTTTCTTCGTAGGTAGCAGAATAGGAAGCGACCCATCATGTTTGGGCTCAAAGCACTGTCAACCGGGCTCTTTGCCGCTGCCTCCGTCTCTGGAATCCAACTTTGGAAGACGCCCGGCCAAATCCCGACTGACGTGCCAGCCAGATGTCGTGCAGCGCTGAGCACCAACATTACCTGCGACTTTTTGGTCACGGCTGATAGCGCTGCGAACGGAGAGGTCGTCGTCGGCGAAGCGGCTGATGTCTTTTGCAACTCCGCCTGCCGAGACTCGCTGCGCTCGTTCACGAGTAGCGTGACATCTGGATGCGGGCATACGCAATACAAGCTGTGGGAGAATAGCACAATGACAGCTTCCGGTCAGGCTATGGCAGAAGGGCTGCTCTGGGCGAATAGCCTCCTTTGCATTCAAGACGAGTAAGTCGAAATTGTGGCCGACTGCGAAGTCTGCTGGATTCTTACACTCATGATAGGTCAGGTGTCTGTCTGCCAGAGCTCTACGATGGCGGAAAGGAGCTCTGTTCTGATTGCGGTCTCAAATTTGCCGCCACTATGGTCAGCACCGACTATGGCCGGGGACATGTAGACGAAGAAGGATTCCAAGAGTTGCTATCGTCATGCTCGGCACCAGCCAATAGCTATACCTACAGCTACACACCACCACCGCCGCTGGCCACGACCACCGGCGGAAGCTCAGCGCCGCCGTCCCCGACTCCGACTTGCCGTGGGACGACGATCACGGTTCAGGAGGGCGACACTTGCGAGTCGATATCTCGAGCAAACAGCGTGGCTACAGACCGAATGATTGCCGACAACTACATGGATTACTCCTGTCGAGAGTTGGCGGTCGGAATGAAGCTATGCATTCAGGACACTTGCACCATCGCACAGATCCAACAAGGGCAGACTTGCGAGGATATAACCAGTGGCAAAGGCTTTACTATAGTTCAGCTCACCTCTTGGAACCCGTGAGTCAACCCGAACATCTCAATGACGAAGACTAACCTTGTGCAATTTCCCAACTCAGGACCTTGAAGACGAAGTGCGACAGCAACATCACTCCCAATCTTGATGCGCTTGCTGGAAGAAGCATCTGCGTCGAGTAAGCTGCACCCTCACCCCGGCCTGCATCTGCTTCGTAACTATATGTGGAAGCTTACACAATTCATTTTGTAGAGCGCCGGGTCCGTTCGAATTTCCCACGACCGCAGAATCGACGACAAAACGTTCATGGACTCTGTATGAAGACTTGGAAGCCAACTGTTGTGACGACTTTTCAACTGATGATATCGCAGTTCTTCGCCCCTGTTCACATCCTTCGAGACGGCCTCCGTTGAGACAACGTATGAAGGGGGGCCCTTGGGCACAACAACTCTTTTCGATCCATCATATACACCCCCTGCAGAAACGCATACAGCTTTAGACTCGTCCAAAGAGTCAATCATCAGCGACTACACAAAGTACTGCTGGATCACCGAGGAGGACTGGGCCCAAGGCTACGACGCGGACGCTTTCCCGGCAGCGTGTCTGAACTTGATGAACACATACTGTTACTACAGTGAGGGCATGCCGTCTCCCACACCACTCACCCGCGCTCCCGCCGTCTGCACGCCGGACAGGAGTCAGTACACCCTCCAGCCAGCGCCGGACCCCGTCGTCACCCCGACCCCGCATCAGCCAAATCTCACCCCCGGATGCAGCAACTTCCACAAAGTTGCCAGCGGCCAGTTCTGTGCCGATGTTGCCAGTGAATACGGCATCGACCTGGATGACTTCTACAAGTGGAACCCTGACGTGGGATCGGACTGTCGCAACCTGCAGCTCGGCGTGTGGGTTTGTGTGGGGTACGACGAACGGCTGGTCCCCACCGTAACGCCGGCGGCTAGGGTTACAGGGAGATGATTCTGATTGTGATTGGAGAGCGATTCTTATATTGCGAGAGACATTTCGGGGTGAAATTGGCGGGGGAGGGGCACCGAAGTTCCATTTTGAAGTTGCATGGACGCTACAGGGGGTTGTTGGTTCGAAGTCTGCAAGGTTTCTTAGGCAAGGGCTTAAATACTTCTGTTAATATTGCTCATTTGCCTGCTTAAGTGCATCTGGAGGGGACACACATGAGCGTTAGACCAACGTGCATCCAACCCTTCCCAGGCTTCCCTTACCAGACAAGGTTAAAATGAATCAGAAGATTCTTACACTTCCAGTGTTGCAGTAGCAGCAGAAGCGCCAAGGTAGGCAGCAGACCGGTGTGTTCAAGCATGGAAAATGCATGTTACAGACGTACATGCTGATCAAATTTCCGTACGAAGCTATCTATTGTGGTCTCATCTGGCCAGAAAGGTCGACTAAGTCTCGGCAGCTCGATAAAGCACCCGGCCCATCTCGCCGTCGGCCTCGTATGGCTCGGCAACATCGCCATCTGCCCACCATTGAGACAGCTGCATTCCCCGTTGGGGAGCCATGCGCAGGTACATCATGTCCTCCGGTCCAACACTGGAGTATCGGACCGGGTTTCCATATCCGTCGAGGAACACCACCTCGTACTCTGGCTCGTCGTCCGACTCAAGAACGTCTCTAGAGGCAATTAGAAGCGGGCGATCAGACAGTGCCAAGTACTGTATATCATCCTCGGGATTCTCCGATGCGCGGGCCTCGGCCAGCTTGGCGGGTTCGATGCTTCTTCGTCGTCCAGAGTGGCCGACGAGCTCCGGGAGCAGATCAAAGACCCTGCTCCAATCATCGCCAAAGTCGAAAAGCTCTCGGTCGTCGAGATAACGCCACCAAAGCTCTTCGTGAAGAAAACCCATGCCGTCGGCATCTTCCTCCTGCGTGATCAGCTGCTGCATTTTCTCATCGCCGCCCTCGCTGTCGTAGCACGTCCGGAGGACGACCAAGTTGTCGCAGGTTTCGTGGAGAAGCTGGTCCGCAATCTTCCGGATCTTGTCCGGCCGCCAAGGCTGAAGAATTTCGCGAACCTCTTCGGTCGTGGGAATGCGGCTGATGGTGCCGTTCCTGCCTGCACGCCACTCGGCTGGAATCTCGTCCATTGTCATGAAGGACCTGATAAGCTCGCGGATCTGGTCATTCGGTGAAAGGTTGGAGGAAGGGTTCCATTTGCGCTGCGACCATATCAGCCTGTGCCGTACTTGGCGGCAATAGTCGACCTACGATGAGATACTGCTCGGCTGGGAAGCTTCCCCATGGGGGCGAGGTGACACCATTCATATTAAATTGGAGGATTTCTATTTGCCGAGTGCTGATTTGTTGCCTTTTTTCAGCGGAAGGACTTTTTTCAGCGGAAGGAGGCAGGGAATAATGACGAGAGAGAGAGACAAGTGACATCGACGCACGGAAAAGGGGTCTTTTGTAAGAGCGCAGCGGGATTTGCGCCAAGCCTTGTGTTGGCGCTTGCGCTCTTGGCCTACATGTGATGCCTGCCAGCGGCCGTTGGGCCTTGTTGGAGGTTCCAACAAGGTTCCGTCCGACTTGGAGTCTTGTTGTTACACCTATCACACGGTGCAGGATTAGCGTAGTAATTGCGGGGCTTGGTCTTACTGAACCCTTGACACTGCTATTCAAATATTATCTTATCGGGGCAGGATTCCTGGCATTGCAACCTACTCATGTAATTACGCCGCATGGCTTAATCTCCCCTTCGCAAGGCGTTCTTCTTGGCTGCAGACTGACAGCCTTCACGTGGAATGGGCCACCAGACTAAAGTTCCATTTGAATGGTGCAGATAGTTTCGTTGTATACTGTCTTCCGATCCAGCTGCTACTTAGTTGATGCAAGTTGTATTCCGGACTTTCTTCACCTGGGATGCAGCACCATGGCACCCCTAATCATCCTTGCATTCATGACCTAAGAGCAGAAGACCTGAAATGGCGGTCCCAATTTAATCATGATCAAGTCTCACTCTTTGGTATATGCGAAGCCTTCTGTTGCCAAACATCATCTCTTTCCTTTACTCTCAATCATGAGGGCTTCCTTCCGCGGCTCACTTGGGCCCTTCATTCCCTTTCTTTGCGTCATCTATGTCACTCTTTTCTTGAACTCTATTCACGTTACTGCTCAGCAGAATGCTCTCTGTGACGACTCCAATCCATGCAGGGTAGGCTGCTGTGGGCCTTTTGGTGTATGCGGCTTTGGTGACGACTACTGCGGGGAGGGCTGCAAGTCCAACTGTAACGCAACAGCAGAGTGTGGACAGTACGCCCTTGAAGATAACTTCGACTGCCCGATCAACGTTTGTTGCAGGTTTGTCTACCCCCTATATGCGGCTTTGGAACTTGAGCTAACGTGATCATCGTGAAGTAAACATGGATTTTGCGGCACCACGGAAGAGTTCTGCAATGACGGCTGCCAGCCGAACTCTGAGGGCGGAGGTTGCGGCAGTCCTACGTAAGTACTACTCGCTCAGCGCAGGCCTCCAAAGGAACTTCTTAAGAGATAGATACTAACGGCGGTGGGTAGACGAAAGACGTGTCCCATCAATTCTGACCCCTTGACATACGAGAGACGCATTGCTTACTATGAGTTGTTCACTCGAGGAAGAGATTGTGGTGTCAGGGAGCCTGAGGATCTACCACTGGCTCCCCTGACGCATCTCAATCTCGCATTCGTCAACTTTGGAAGCGATTACAAGTTGATAGACGAGCATTCTGAGTGGGTACGACGGCTAGTCCTCAGAAAGCTGAGGTATCCCAACTTGCGGATCAACATCGCTATCGGAGGATGGGCGTTCAACGACCCTCCGACATCAACCTACTTCTCAGACATGGCATCGAGTTACGATGGCCGAAGAACATTCATCCGGTCTGTGGTCGATTATCTGCGGGTAAGTTGTGGACATGTAGTAGAGCTACTCAAATACTTTCAGCTGATAATGTTACCAGAACTATGGCTTGGACGGTGTTGACATCGACTGGGAGTACCCTGGTGCTCTCGACCGAGGTGGTCGTCCCCAAGATGTCAACTCTTATGTGCAACTGCTAGCAGAATTGAGAGATGCCTTCGAAGACGAAGGCTCCGGATGGGAAATATCAATCGCAATCCCCAGCAGCTACTGGTATCTTCGAGGGTTCAATCTGGAAAATCTCCAGCGACAAGTCGACTATTTGAATCTCATGTCGTACGACATTTTCGGCATGTGGGATCAAGACAATGAGTGGACTGGTCCTTACCTCAGAGGCCACACAGACTGGGACATGATCGAAAACGGCCTCGACCTGCTCTGGCGCAACGGCATTCAGCCTGAGAATGTCGTCATGGGGTTTGGCTTTTACGGCCGATCCTTCACGATGTCGGACCCCAGTTGCTTCCGACCTGACGGTGTCTGTCGCTTCAGAACTGGAGGCATGCCTGGCTCCTGCTCTGATACGGCTGGCGTCTTGACCTACCAGGAGATTGCCAGTCGTAACAGCAGCCTCGATGTTCAGACATTTTACGACCCAGACACAACGGTCCTGTATAACGTGTTCGAAGGAAGCCAGTGGGTGTCGTACGACAATGCTGTTTCCTTCAAGGCCAAGCTCGAACGTCTTTCCAGCAGATGTCTCAGCGGTCTCATGATCTGGGCCATTGATCAAGACACGTCCAACTTCACCGCCATGGGCGAGCTATTTGGAGACTATTCGCACCTGCAGCTTGAAGGTCTCGATCATGACTCCGCCGACCGGTTATCCGATCTTTTTGGCCAGTTTACTGGCCAAGACTGTTTCGTTACGGAGAAGTGTACCGACGGAACCTCGGGCGAGCGTGGAGCTGGTCAAGTCTGCCCTGCTGGGACCATGTCCGTCGAGACCGCCCACAACCCCTTGCAAAGACACCCCATGCCCCTTTCCGGTGGAACATGCAAGAAGGGCTGGTACCGCCATATTTGCTGTCCGAAAAGCTCGATGCCGCAAGACTGTGAATGGAACGGCGAACCAGAGCGTAACGTGTTTGGGTGCAGCGGGAAATGCGGCCCGGGCACGTTCGAGCTTAACACCGACACAGCCATGGAGCCCAAAGGGAACAAGCAATGTTACTCTGGAAAGAGGTCCTTGTGTTGCCGTAGTACCAAGGTCATTGATGATTGTATCTGGAGCGGCTGTCAAGGACCTCTTTCCCCTAGCCAGAACCCTGAGTGCCCCGACGGCTACGACTACCAGACGTACCGCTACAACAAGCCAGAAGGTGTCGGTCTCTGTCGAGAGGAGTATGTGTCACCCGTTTCAGGAAAGAAGGGTAGTCCTCTGATGGAGCCTTTCAAGAGCGCATTGTGCTGTCCCAAAGGTCGCAGCTACAGCAACTGCAACTGGGCCAACGACCCGCAATCCTCTTCTGATTTAGAGTACGGCAATCCAGAACTTTACTGTCTGCCCCAACCTTGCAAGCAGACGCAGGTGGAAATTGCAGATGGCCTCAACCCCCCGCGTGCGAACGCCTACAGTGGTGGTCGTTTCGAGATGTCGTGTGATGGTGTATCCTTACCGCCAAATTACGATCCGTTTTTCGGTTTCTGTTGCGACCCGCCGTCTACTTGGAATAAAGACTGGCCTGTCGACCCTGACCGACTTTACGAGCTGAGTTTCAACGACCCTGAAACCGACAAAGCAATTTGGCAGTACGACACCCAATACGAAAGCAACGACCGAGACCCTATTCGCGCTGATGGGACTGTTCCCGACGGCTCGGACGCTTACGGATTTATGATGCTCAACGGCGAAGAAGAGGCCATAGATGACAACTTCCAGAAGTCGTACACAGTCGTCCGGCGCACAGTCTCGGTCCCCCGTGTAAAGCGAGACATCTTGACCAAGAACCAGACGGTACTTGAGCGGGTTTTTGAGCACGTTGAAGAGACCTTCCAAGTTTACTGCAACTTTCCTCCCGGAGCCGAGGAGTGCGAGGCCGTCTGGAGTGGCGGCGCCGAGGATACCATCATTCGCCTGCCAGACCACGTCGGCGAAGGACCATTTGCGCGCGTCATCTCGATGATGCCCGTGGGTAACGACTACCAGTTGCCCAAGCATCATCTCCAGCATCGCTCTTTGGACGGGATTCATGATAACCCCGTCTACGAAGTCAAGGTCGACTACAACTTCCACCTCGCTCGTCAAGATCGCGGCCCCGTCCAGATTCGTGTCGACTTTACTAATCTGCTGGGGTACTGGTCTGAGTTGACAGACTCGGAAGCAGACGGAAACACCGCGAGACGTGCAAAGAGAAACATCCCTGACGATGGATTCACGATGCGCCACTTCCGTGACCGCGTCGCCAAGGCCGAAGAATTGGAGAAGCGTCTTCCCAAACGCTCAGGAGATACAATTCTGACCACGGTGCCCCTCGAGGCCGAGCCGGCCGACCCGAAGCCGGACAACTGCCTTGTGTCGCGAGAAAGCAACATCGCCAAACGCTGGTGGGGAACTTTCACGCGCTGGCTGGCGAAGCTGACCACGGTGACGCGGTCTGAAGTCGGCGATCTTCCTATGGGCTGGGCCGACAAGATCAACTTGTTCAAGGCGTCGTGGGGATGCCCTGGCAAGACCTGGTCGGCGAACCTGCGCATGGACCTGGAGGCTGAGATCACTATGCAGTCCACATATGCCTACTACTACTCCGGCACGTTCATTCCGCCCACAAAACCAGACGTGTTCTTCTTCTTCGGCATTCAGCCAGAGGCCTACGTCGGTCTCAAGATGGTTGGAAACGCAGAGCTCCGCTATACTACCAACAAGAAGAAGATTGTCGACACTCTTGGATACCCCGGGCTGGCTGTTAAGGGAATTGCTGCGATTGGTCCCACGCTCGATATATATGGCCAAGTAAGTCAATCAACACCTACTGTAGCTAGACGAAGCTGCCTTGTTCTCTCGGAAGTTGGCGACTAACAGAGCAGATCAACGGATACGTCAATATTCACGGAGAGGCGAAAGCGGGTGCGAGAGTCACCTTCGATAAGTCACGCGTGTTTTGGCCACAGGATAGCAGTGACGTTGAAAAGTACGACGAAATTCTGAACCTCGGCCTGACTGAAGAGCCCAAGAAGCCCAATGGACTCGACGTGACACCAACCTTTGAAGCCGGCGTCCAAGTAAAGGCCGAAATTGACGTCATTCTACAACCAGAGGTAAGTTTGGCCTGTCCAATACACTCGCTCCAGCCATCCTGACATCTTTTCCATAGGCCAATGTCGGTATCCAGATCGGTGGCGGCTCCTACACTGCTGGCAGGACTCTGATCAGTGCCCAAATCACGGCCTTCATGACCAGTATCTTGCAATTCATCGCGACTGGCACCATCAGTACCTCCACCGGTCGCTTTGACTACACCTACGGCTCGTACTTTTACTATCAACTTGGGTTCAAGGCCAAGGCCACCGTTCTCGACTGGGCGAATTGGGCGCTCAAAGATCGATTGGCCTATTCACCTGACCCAAGGAAGTACACCATCTACAAGTCCTCGGGCTCAATAGACCTACAGGGGAATAGGAAACGCATGGTCAGGCTGATAGACCAACCGGACTCTGAAGACGACATCGGACAGTCTTACGCCAACGACACCCTGGCCGAGACTGCGCTTCTCGACCCCATGTATCTTTTTAAGCGACAAGATGATGACAGCATGGACCTGGGTATGAAAATCCAGTTCATCACATCGACTCTTTTGGCTGATGAACCTTTGCAGACCCCCAGCTGCCCCAATTCACGCAGCAGATTCAGTGCCCTGCAGGTGACAGCCCTTCTCTGAAGCTGCCGGAACTTCGATGTCAGTCAATAAGCCGCTCAATCCCGCCTGGCTGCGGATAAAACTAACAAGAACCGCAGTCAACTGTGGCGCATTCCCCCCTCTTCAACTCACCGATATTTCGGGTCAAGTCTGGGGAACTATTCCTCTGTGCCAGGGGTACAAGACGACGACCCTGCCAACCACCTTGACCCATGCCCCGGCCATCCTGCCCGAGCACAAGGAAAGAGCCAACCAACGTCGCAAACAGCAATGCCCGAATCTGGTCAGCGACCTGGATTCATGTCCTTACGAGACAGCCTTCATGCACTCGGCCATCGGATATTCAGGCTCGTTGATGAAACTCGAGTGCGACGAGTTTCCTTGGGCGTCGAGCGAGGAGGGTGGTAACTTCCGGGCAACAAACGAACGGAGCCAGGAATGTGTTCCTAGCGTCCAAAACGGTCTGGGAGGTCAATGCATTGGTATGTTGCCCTCAGTGTTTCTGAATCAAGGGTCGAGTTTCTGACAAGCATGTGATTCTCCAGGGATGATGAACTACATGACGCAGAACGTCGGCAAGATGGACCCCGAGACAGATCCTGACGACCGTGACGACCTGTGGATAGGCTGGTTTCAAGGGTCCAACACTGAGTGTGAGTGGTCTCATGTTCTCATCATTTTGAAATTCTTTTCACAGCGGGTCGCATCGTACTAACTGCCGACTAGTCTGGTACACCCAAAAGACAGTCGACGGCGTTACTCAGGGCTGGAGCAGCTATGAAGAGAACCAGCCCGTTCCCGTCGGTTATGACCCCGTGAACTGGAGTGTAAGTTGATATCACCCTCGTTGCATTTCTACTTGTCTGACACGGCGACCAGGGTCAACCAGCCGACAAGTCTTGGACGTTCAAACGTAATTACACTTTTAGCGTCATTGACGACGGCTCCCAGGCCAGCAACTGGTGGGACGCCACCGGGAAGCAGTTTACGACAAACACCGGCTACACGTTCCGCAACCCCAACGGATATTCTTCCGTCATTTGCGCTGTCAACATCTTTGACCAGGACGATTACTACCGGAACCCGAGGCAGGGCAATGCGGCGGAGTTCAACGGTCTCTGCTACAGGGGCGATTCATACGCAGCGAATGGGTGGCCGGGCTCTTACCGGTACTCCCGCTGTAAGGTTGATTTCGGGGCTGCCGTTACGAAGAGGTCGCAAGGCGACGCGGCAGGCGAAAAGGGCCAGTGGGAAATCACAGGTAAGATCTCTTTTCTGTGCACTGACACCGTTGAGCACGAATTCTGACCCGTCATCCTACAGGCGTTACGATGCTTGATGACGACTTCGTGGTGGGCGAGGACGTTGACTGGGACTTGTTGGCGAAGCAAGACGCCGGACAGAAGACAGAAGCCTCTGTTTCCGAAGCTGAGACACCTCCAGCTTCCGCGAAAGACAGCCCTAGCGACTCTTCCGTCTCAGTCAGTCTTCCTACACTAGATGCGATACTCTTCCCTCTGGACAAAGCTTGATCCTCAGGAGTAAAACAGCCAGGTTCAGCTAGGAAGAGAGCATCAACCACTTTTTCTTTCTTTCTGTACCACCTGTCACCGCCATTTGTACCATCCAAGAATAACGCGTTACATTTCACTTTTTTCCATATTTCATAAGACTACTAGCAGGCAATATCAACTAGAATCAATGCTGCAATTCTCAGATTCAGGTTTCATGGAAGGTTATACGGCGGGGAGTCAAATGCGCAGATGACCTTCACTGGCAGAACACATCCAGACTTTCCCGAAGTCGACATAGTCATCATTCTGTCCCCCAAGTGGTCTACAATACCCGGGGGGCGGGCTGAATGGCGGTTTAAACAAGGCAGGGCTCTAATATTCGTCATCGACTTGGCAGAGGGGTCGATGCCAGCCAGGCAGAGCTCTCGAATGGTTTCCAGCGCCTTGGCTGAAGGCTCTTGGTTCTCGGGCTCGCATTAACTGTCGCCGTCGATGTAGATGACGAAGTGCAGCGGAGAAAGGTCAACAGCATCGTAGAGCGAGGCAGCGAGTCGGAGATGCGTTAGTTGATATTTTTGGAGCCAAGACAGCAACCCGCGGCCGTGGCTCGCGACTTCGCCGGCGGTAAGCCCCTTCTAGAGCTGTTTGCTGCACTGTCGTCAGAATCAGCTAAGCCTCCATCATCCAAGCTTACAACCGCCGCTGTGGACATAGCCGAACATCGTAGTCCGTAACCGCGCATGAAGTGTTCGATAACGTCATCTGCACCCAATACAATAGCAACGTTCTCAAGTTTGTCGAGTTCGAAAGGTATTTCAGCTTGATCCGGGCAGCCCTCGCGGCGGGAACCTTTTCACCTGCTCAAGCAACCCCAGCGTAGATGGAGTGGGTGTGGTGAATGCGAGGAATTGACAATTACAACGGGTGAAGGACGCAAGTGTCAGCCGTGCGGATGTTGAAAGTTTGGATCCATGAATCAGCCATGACGACGACAAATTCGACACAACGTATCTTCGCAGCACCAGCTTCTAGGTCTGGAAGGGCTGTGGCTTGGACTCGCGTTGTGGACGTGTCTTATCTCGGCCGCGTTGACCTAGGTCACATTGAATGAGATCGGATCAAACTTTCTTCAGGGACGCAACAAGTCAGGAGCTTTTCGGAGACGCTTCATTGCAGAGGAGTGAAAGGATCTCAATTTCCAGCAGAATGCAGCAGCGTGTGTCGTCGAGATTGAACAGTACCGCGTCGAGCCCCGAGAAAAAGAATATCGCGGCCTTGATGAGACAGGCAACATGTCGGAGGAGCTGTCACAAGGATTGTCTTTCCCAGGGCGCGACGCACCTGCACCATAGAAGTGACTCTTTTGAAGGAGGTGAGTGGAACGTGTGGTTGAAAGGATCAGCCGTTATGCGCGAAACCCTCCTTCCCAGCTAGAAGTCGGAGTGGTGTCTGCCTGTCGGGCAAGTTGAGAACGAGTGTACTGAGTAGCATGATGCTGGACAACAGTGGCATTGGAGTCAGGTTGACGGCCGTAGAATACGATGGCGAGTCACCGGGTCAGATCTATTGAGTCAAAGAGAAGGCACAGCGCACCCAGCTACGATGTTCTTGGAATCCAACCGAATCAAGGGATGCTGTCTGCACAGTGACGTGGGCCTTCATATCCAGTCATCAAAGCTTGTGCTGGGAGCAACTGCGAGTCGCGTCGAGCTGATCGCCGCTAGAGCTGTTTTTGTTTGCGACTGGAACCAGTGATTAAACGCAGGTAGGACGCTGGATCCTCCGCTCGAGATGAACGTAGCCAGACTATTGACTGTAAATTTTGTAATTTGGAGGGACTGTTGTCGATGAAATTCACGTTATATAGGCATGTCGTCAGCAGCAGTGACAGGTAAAATTGTGACCGACGCGGAACTGCTGATGGCTGGGCCGCTCCATCCTCTATGCCAGGGCCCGGGGGCACATTCGAACTTCTCGGGGGATGATCACAACTTTAAGGGGGAAAAGCCCATATATCCCTGTACCACCTCAGCTAAGCTCCCCTTCGTCACATATCCACTGTAAAACTGGTGGTCTCCGCACCACAGTTCGGCAGTTTTCGACGCAGAGTGACAGGCCAATTTTTGATTACCGTCTGAAAGCCTACACCACGATGCCGTCGAGTGATAGTGATAGCTTCAGCTTGTGGGCCCCAGATACAGATTCTGTCACCGTCGAAGTAGCTTCTGGAGAGCGGCGGAGGTGAAAGGCTTCCATGATTAAGGCGGGCGCGGAATCCAGAACCTCCCCTAGCTCTTTTGCGCTGCGTAAGCTCTGGAAGGCCGTGGGAGCTTGTGAAGGGGAGCTCGTGGTCCCCAAATCCAAGAGTTGTTTTGTCATTTGGCTGAGACGGGATGGTGTGTGCCAATGCAGTGATGTCATCCTGCAATTGAGTGTAACGAGGGAAGAGGTTTCCGCAGATACCTCCGAGTGCGCCGGACTTAATTGCGAATGACGTCAAATTCGGAGTTTGGCCTTAGATTCAATGGCTTCTTTGCAAAGTAAATTTCATAGCAGCATCTGTCCTCGGTCCACGGAAACCAGCACGTTCTGGACATTTGTGCACGTCCCGAGAAATCAGGGCATCGAGAAGGATCTGCGCAGAAAAACGTCGAAGCTACAGAAAGAGAATCAATTTCCTTACCTCAACGCCCAAAATGGGAGTGTACAATCTGGAAGCAGTTTGTGTGCACTGATTGTCGTCGACCTATGGTGATCGAGGTCATTGACCAAGGTTGTCAATCAAGGTTGCGGTCAAGTGTGAGAAGTTCCCCACATTCACACAATTGTTTGTGTGACTACATGAGCAGGAAAACCTACATATGATGGAACAGGTACAGCTGGGACGTCTGAGGGTACGTCATTTTAGCATGCTCATGCACAGAAATACGCCCATGGGCCCATACATGGGTACATGTGCGGGTATTTCGGTACATGGGTGCCTGAAATAGTTCATCGGCCATTGGAACGAGTCCCCACTGCCCTTACACTATTTCACAGTGAAGCCCCCGTAGCTACTATACACGATGGCATTCCTTGTTCCTCTCTTGAAAGCCACTCGCGAACTCTGCTGTCCCTTCTCGCATGTCTCATACCCGACCCTCAACGGAAAAGAAGGTTACATTTCGGCATGCGTCAGCAAATTTTGCATTTTATCGCTGTCACCACAACCAGCAGCGTCGGTCTGGTTCATTCTGTAACTTGCTTTTTGCTGTACCTGAGCTGCATCAGTCTGACATTGGCTTGGGCGCAGATGGGCCATCCCCACTTCCAGGCTCGGATCGGGCCAGTCCGCTGCCAACGATGATGCAACAACTCCGGCTCAGACGAATCGTTATAGATTTGGCCAACGCATATTTGTGAAGTTCGTGCGCAGGATTCGGATATGCCATGTTTCGGCTCGTGCGAGGGGTTGCTCGAACATGATTGCATTTGCTCCTCCTAGGCCGAAGAATTTCCAGATTTCTGTGTCATGGTGATTGACGTAGTGTTGAAGTGCGGTCAGCCTCAGCAAACATGCGATTTCGCGCTCAGCAAAGCGCTCAGCAAAGCGGATGAAAGGGAAACAACACTTGCCCAACCATGACTGCAAGTAGAGACGCAATCTCAACGCACGTCACAACAATCACGGACAGACGTGGGACAAGCCGCTGAAGTTTTACCAACATCGCCGACATTGACAGCGGTAGCCAAGCCCAGCCGGACTCCAGGCAACATCACCGACGAACCCAACCCTGGCGCGCATGGATTGACGCTCATGTCTGTCAGTACACTGGCAGAACCCAGCGTCGATTTCGAAGGCCTCGCGGCGCGATTACTCAATCAGTGGAGGCCGACTGCACAGACCACATCGGTGGCCCAAGTTACTGTGGGTCCCGGGCCGTGCCCCACCGCCGGAGTTTGCTCCGCTCCGAGTACAACGGAGAGATTTCTACTTCCAAGCCGCCATGTTTTAACGGCTCACCGCGAAAATCACAACATCAAGTATACAACGATCACAGGGACTTCGATCAGATAGAAAGCAAATAAATTTCCTCAGGAAGGAGTTGTATTGTCCTATCGTGACGAGTGAGACGACTACCGCCAGTGTGGAAGGATTTTGAAAGTAATCCATGCTGTCGCTCGACTAATCAATTACAGCGTCCAAAAGCACTTGCAAATTGCAAAGCCACAACGAAGAAAAGAGGCTTGCCATCGTAGTTGCAGCTTCTGCGACCCTGAAGTCTCACGCCTTGGCCTCGAAAGGGGGGACGGTTGCAGTTGAAGTAAATGTCCACCTGGCTCCTTGTGCTCCACCTCATGTACCCCGAATGTGGATGCGGCATCCCCACGCAGGAACCCATGTGGAGATAAGTTGACTTCTAAACGTCTTGTGCGATTCCTCTTGATATCATGGCGGACTCAGTCTGGTTGGAACCTCTACGCCTATCAGCGCCAGGGTTGCCCAGTAAACCAACGCTATTTTTATGGCCAGATCGGAGACTCACCACCCTTCGTGCACGAAACCACGCTAATTCGATGATTTTCCAGGTGCCTCGCGCCACCTGAGTTCAAGACGCAGCCCGGCCCGACATCCCGATCCGCACAAACGCCAGCCGATGCGATCGAAGACGTCCCTCGATGAAAGGAAAGACAGCTGCACCGTCTTTGTATTGATGACTCGAATATAGGCCACACTGAAGCTTTTCAAGCGACCAGACACACACACAGTAGGATGGAACTTGACCAACGCATGGGTCATGGCTTGGCCCTCCGAGGCTGGAACCGATGTGTAGCCGTCGTTGATGGCGCGGGTGTGATTGATAAATCAGTCTCAATGTTTGACTACGTATAGCGGCTTCACGGGAGGCTGGTCACAAGGTGAAGAATGGACGGCCCGGCCACGTCTTCCGAGTTGGAGCCGAAGACGGTGAATGCAAATGACGCTGAAGCCAAGACTGCACGGTTGACAAGCGCTGCTTGAAATTGCATAAGTTCTACTGTGTGTGTGTAAAAGTGCTGGACAAAAGCACGTGTTTCAAGGTCTTTACATGAGGTCCAAGTACGTTGGTTCATATTTCCTGGCTTTGCTCAGGTCGCGATGTGGGAGGCATGGCAGGTCTTTGCATTTTCCTGCCACGGGTGTGGCAGCTTTTCGCACGCGGCAGACATTAGAGCCCAAGGCGGTGGGTTCTTCTTCTGCCTAAGAAGGTGACCTGGGGGTCAGAACAGTCCTTCTCTCCTTCTTGCGCGACCCCACCCAGGTTCGCATTCATCACGGCCGAGGAAGGCAGCAACGACCTAAGCGAACTGCTCTTTCCTTACAGTGCAATTGTGCCTTCCTGAAATTTCTGCCGCAGCAGTCATCAACTCCAAAAGTGAGCAACTAATAAACCTTGACCACTCCGCCCGCCCACGGCATCTACGTTGTGAAGGTGGTCTCTTCCAGCATCAGCTTGCGATCCTCCCTCACGCTCTTCCTCGATAATTCATCGTCGTCGGCATCGCGAAGGCCCAGCTTTCCCACAAACAACTCCCGCCGCTGCGATCCGGCCGACATCCCTCAATGCCCCGCACTCGCGCCGCGGCGACCAAAGCCCAACAACAACTCGAACGCGACACCAGGTCCCAGTCGGAGCGCTCTCCAACCCCCTCGTCAGACGACCAATCCGATCAAGGCTCGCCCGAACTGGAAAAGCTTTTCACCAATCTCGCACAAGCAATTGACGACAGTGAGGCCGTTGTACGGGCCCGGTGGGACGAAGCCCAGACCGCTTTTGGCGCTCACATCAGCAAGGGCAATCGAGCCCGGCGACATCGCAACCCATTCGCCGTGTGGGTTACCGAATGCATGCCACAAGACACCCTCTTCCGAACCTTGCGAGTGGTTTTTCATGAGCATTGGGACACCTACGTCGCATAAAAAAGAGATCAGGAAGCTTATCGCACGAGAGCGGCAAAGCATCTTGGCCTCACAGACGTCTTTGAACTATATCTCTGGTTTGGGAAGACAGCGGTTGGCTCCGAGCAGTGCTGGAAAAGAAATTGGCAAGCGCTCGCGAAACTTGACGCCGAGCAGCTATTCAGGCACTTACTCGAGGCGAGAAAGACGGGTTTTCGGGAGCCCCGAAACGATAACTACATCAGAGAGCCCTTCAATTCCCGCGACTTCACAAAGGTGAAGAGAATTAGTAGGTGCACTGCGTATTCCATGGCAGATACCGTGGTGGCTCCGTACGCGCAGCCGCTGACTTTTACTCAGTTTCCACGAGTTCTGCGCGACCATCCCAGGCCAAAGCCGACGGCAACGACAATACCACCCGTCAAATCAAGGCAAAGTCGACCAACGCGAGTTCCAGCCGACAGCAGAAGGCCTACACTCAGGCATCAGACAGCCAGGCTGGGGGCGGCAGTCAGATGCCCGAGGACATAGGAGAGCTCCAAGGCCCCCCTGACGGCTCTGTGTTAGCAAAGATCAGTGGGCAGCAGGATATCCCCGAGAACAGCAGAGTGGCATCTGCAGACCTGGACAGCGAAGACGAAAGTGACACCGGGGCAGGACCGAATCAGGAAGAGGCAGAGGACGCACCTGGCAATCTGGTTACCGCCACTCGTCCAGTCATACTTGACAATCAGCGCGCTGGGATCGACGCAGACGACGGGAGGGGAGAGGAGGACTCCGAAGACGACGGCTACCACCAAAACCCATACTTTGGTAGTTACGACAACGACGACACCTTCGGGACGGATATCAGAAGTCAGTTAGCCACAAGTACGCCGCAGCACAAGACAAGACAGGGGTTCCTCGACGCAGAGTCAAACTACTCAGAGCCTGGAGAGACAGCGCCCGGCGGCGAGGTTTGGGACGACGCGATTCAACACAGTGATACAGAATGTGCGGAAGAGGAGTTTTTTGACAGCGTCTTCAGCCACGAACCCGAAAGCAGCACGTTATTGGACACGGGAATCACGCTGCCACAAGTCATCAGCATCAGGCACGACACGCAGGGGAACAAGTCCCCAAGTGCGAAAGAAACGTTCGGTAGATCCGAAGAACAGCAGCCAGCGATGCCGTCCATTGTGGAGGACATGAGAAAAGACTTGGCTGATGCGGTCATCGGCGCAGGGAACGATTCGGAGTACCGCAGACGCGCGCGCGAACAGCAGCAAGAGGCCAACAAGGAGATCGAATTGCTTCGGAAAAAGCACCATGCGCGTATCGACCTTATCCTCAGCGTTTCACACGACGATCTGCTGGGCGACAAGGCAACTCGGGCGGCAGCGTGTACAGATGCCACCAAGAACAAAGGCCCATCCGCTGAGGAGATCGAGACAGGCATCGCAGAAGCCAATCGGAAAAGGAAGGTCGCGGATCTCTGCATAAGATCGGAGAGCGCGAAATGGCAGAAGGTTGCTGAGAAGGCCGAAATCGCTAGACAGGCCATTCGAGCTCTCGCGGAGGCTGCGATGGAGGAGCTTCCGCCCTTGTATGACGACAAGGCCCGTGACTATGGAGATACCGATCATGATATTTCATATGGCGAGAAGGAAATGGTTGAGCAGTGGACGTGAAGTGAGGAAGGGATGCGCGCGTAGATTGCATTGTTCTTAGGTGTGGGGTGTTTATCCACAGATGATAGCGACAAACGTAGATAGCACAACCACAATAGATATGAGATGTCGCATTGGTTAAAATGAATTCTGACGTGACAGCACACCTGTCTAAGTAGGCGTCGACTCGGAAATTGATTGCAGAAGTGGTGTTGTCACTGAAGCGTGTGGGAAAATGTCCCGGATATTCCCGGGAACTTTCTGCTATGCCCGCATCGCAAACACCCACGTCGCCGGCTTGTGCTACAAGCATACACCATTACTAATCGGAGCCCTCTCTTCCTACTATAAGCGCACTCCATCTTATTTCCTTTCCTGAGAATAACCTGAGGCGACTGATAGAGCTGTAGATGTGATGATGTCGCGCTACGAGGTAACTCCAGATGCTGATCGCTTACGTAGGCGCAACTATACTTTCAATCGAGTCGCTATATAGCTTGCGCTCTCGCTCAGGCTTCTACGGAGGGCGATCATACTTCAAACAACATATATTCCATATGGATTTGGTGGTTTCCCCCGCCCGGCGCCACCCCGGCGCTTGCACTCCGATGCCCCACTCCGATGCCCCACTCCGGACATTCACACGGACTTGCGTACGGCGAAAGGCCGGTCTGAATACGCGCAAACCAGTGCAATGCGTCTTGCATTATTTGAGTGCGAGTGCTTTCCCGAACGGGTTGATCTGTATCTGCTCCATTTTTACTGGACGTTGAAAGGCCGGATGCGATCTCGGAGATGACGTTGTCGGCCCCTGTATTGTGGATCCCCGCAGTAGCCAGCCGTCCAAATGAATCAATCATCGGCGCCTGCTCTGTTGCCGGCACCATCACCATTATTCCCAAGCAGCGGGACGCGTCGCCGTTTTTGTCGTGAGCCATGTTCATAAGGTTTTAATCGGCGTCAGTTATGTCATGCTTCGTCCTGAAGATCTACCTGCTGAACTAGTCAGAGAGCTCGTTAACGCGGCGGAAATACTCGAGACAGGGCGAGCTGCTTGCCCAGAGGATTGCGAAAGCCGGCGAGGGCGATGGCGCACTGGAACACGTTTCGGATTTGTAACCTTCTATCTAAGTTCCTTGCCCTGGGTTCTCTTGTAGTTCCAGATTTATGTACACGCTTCATCACTTCGCGGTCATCGGCTTCGATACCATTTTGGTTCATCTTCCGGATAGGCAGCTCGCTCCGGTTTGATCCAGCCGCAGGTTGTACAGAGACATAGATACGCGATTCAAAGGCCTCGTTAAAGACGCTGACGCTGTGAGAAATAGGTAATAGTCATAGTCGTAGCGCATGTATGAGAAGAGTAGTAGTCGGTCAAGGCCAGGCATCTTTCAACGACGCCTGTGCGATTGGACTCTAGCTTATGCTAGTGTATGACAGACAGAAGCACTTCTGTGGATATCCATCGATTTCATCCAAGCGAGAAAGATATCTGCTCCATCCAGGCACAAGAAGCAGTCCGGGCCGCCAGGAAGGGGAAAACCACTTCTTGTAACTCTGAACGAATGGCACATGTCGCAACTCGCTGGTAGCCGAAGTGAATGATGAGCTGGGGCATTCACGTACTGCATATGATTCGAAGAAGTGACAGCGAAAGAAGAGTTAGAATACAAGAAAGACTCAACAGCGCACTCTGTTTTCAAACCTCATACAGGCTTGTAATGGTTTCTGAGTCGTGTCGAGCCAAGGCCTGATTTAGCCTACTAGTGGTGAACGTCTTACCGGTTAAAAGGACGCCATGCAGGAGGAGAACGGGCCATTCCCCTACGCGACGTGAATGATCAGTCGCTCAGGGTGGTAAAGAAGGGCTCCCGTCCAAGTGCGTCGTTCTTTGGTGTCTCTGAGAAGTGCGAATTGATCATATACCGGAGCGGAACTGTACGGCCCTGAGGTAGCTCTATAGGCTCTGCGCAAAGCGTGATCATTAGAAGTCTCTCCTTGCCATTTTGAACATTTGATGTGGCAGGCAGGCTATGAGAAGATTAGTGCCGTGTCTAGCAAGATGATCGGGGGTGCGATTGTCCCAAGCCGGCATCCGGTAGGTGCCCGTTCCATATTCTTCGCAAAATCCACGATAATATCGCCTTCAATATTTTCAGGGTACGGCCAGTCATTCGGTGGGAGTCTGGCGCTCTCTTCCAACTCGGCGAGCTTGAAGCCACCCAGTAGAGGATGTTGACACCTCACAGAGTACCATCGAGTGCAGGTTTTGTGACACACTCCGGAAAGCTCTGTTCACACTCGACGGCAACGTTCTTGCGAGGTCTAAGCTTGTCTTTTTCGGACATTGCAGCTGGCATAACCGGGCGGTCCATCAGGTCCGGTGTGTCTTTGAGCTTCTGAAAAGGGAAACTATGATAAGACGAGTCGCTCCTTGGTCCTTAGCGATCCAGGCGGAAATCTTCCATGTAGGAGGGCCCAAATACAGGTATCACTCCTTATTGACGTCCCTTGAATTACTGCGTGCTCAAAGAAAGTTTTGGAGACGCAAAGTAAGATTGTATTTGATATGCAGACGTTAAGTTGGCAGTCACAAAATGTGAAGATCTTCAGAGCTGTGCTGAATCGAACTTCGATTGCTACTAAATAGAATGCTCCCTGGAAGTATCTGGGGCAGGTTGTCCCAGACTGAGTCCTCTACTCCAGGACGACCAGACTTGCTACAAGTTTAGATAAATTCCGTTTTGGACAACTCAGACTCTGTGGGTTCAGGCCACAGAGCTTCAATGGCATGGTACCTGTTTTCTTTTGACGTCACACGTAACAAGATCTTCTAGCCAGCGATCCGAGATCGCGCCAGGGATATCCAAATGCGGCAACGACTGACCTTCGACTTGCTGCATAACTCTGCGTCGGGTTTGATCTAACGACGCCGGTTTAGTTGAATTGCGGCTGCCGCCTAATAACCAGGCCGCCGTAGGCGAACGATTGCGACAGTAGTTTATTTTGTTTACCCGTTGAGACTGATGAGCTGGTAGGCGACGCCTGGTGCGGAGTTGTACACCTGTGTCTTGATGTCCGGTCATTACCTTTGTCTTTGTCTTCCGCGTCATGTTTCAAGCTATACATATGGGTGATTTGATTCGTTTTGATGATTTTATGCGATGAATTCCTGTTGTTCTAGGAGTTGTGAGCCTTCACACATCTTTTAGACGGTACTAGACAGTCTCCAAGTAGACCAGCCTACTAGACATCACCCCTGTTCACTTCCTGAGCTGTTCGTATGTCAGAACTAGCTTCTCGCTGTCTAAGTCAATTTTATCAGCGGTGCTAACACCCGCCTTCACCTGATGAGCTGGTATCTTTGTCGACGGGAGCAGCGTCTTCACTTGTCCTTGCAGCTTCTCTTTCCAGCCTCTCGGTGGATGGTTCACAACCGTGTGACGTGGAATTCGACTTGTTAGACTCCTGTATGGACGAAAGTCTGTCCAGAAAGTCAGTTACCACCCGGTCATAGGATAATAGTTCAAAGACTTTATATCTCGAAGTTGTTCCTAGGAAATCATGTGGCAGTAAAGGTAATACGGCTTAACTGGCTATATTTGAGGAGAAGAAGCAAATTTCCCCAGTGATCAACTGGGCTATCATGAACTTCTTTGAGGAAAAGCCTAGCCATCCTGCATCACATGGTTGTGAGCACTCGGTTACCATTATAATTGAAAGCCGTACTGTAAGGATATGATGCGGTGAAAGACAGACCTGAGGCTCTGCTATGGGTCAATCTCAAGAGCTTGGCCGCTGAATCGGCAATGTCTTGAATGTCAAGAAGTCGACGGCGCTATTGCCTAATTTGCAGTGTCTGTCTTTCGCGAGGACCTGCGTGCATTGGTATCACCACTACCTCCAAGCAGCACAACTTCTAATTCAGGTTGTAGACCAGCTAATACGACGAAGGAGTGCGCAGTTGAGCACGAGTGTGGCTGTCATACTATATGGGATCACCTGCGGCATCGCAACTGTGTGGTCTGCTTTGGCTACGACATAATGTTGAAGGTTTCCGGCGACGGCAAGATCTGTTTTGATTCGTCCTGGACAGTGGCTTCCTTACTTCCGAGGTAAAGCTCACGCGTAATTACCGCATGGACTCCAAATTGGCTTGAACCCGCTAAGTCGCCGATATCGAAGTTTCTGACGTCAACGCCTCTCTTCACGACGGTCCCGCATACTTCATGGCCGGGACTTGCCACACCAAAGGCATTCATGCGTAGGGAGGGCGGGCGGATGAGCATGCAGTAGTATGCAGTGCAGACTCCAGTAATAGAGACTACTTGTGTCCGGTTCGGGTGAGAAGAACGTCCGCGGCTGCGAAGATGTGACGTCCCACATTATGATGGTGACCGACCGAGAGAGACTTGTCAGGCTCCGGAATTTTTACGTTATGAATTTCTACCAAAGCGCCCTGTTCTTCATTCACGACTTCTGCTGCCCGACATTCGATTGAAGTACTTATATGGAATCAGCTTTGATTTCCGATTTGACGTAGAGATAGTGAGAAGACAGAAAGCTGTTTCTTCATTTGAACTCACTATGATAGACTGTGGTAATCAAAGGAGTCTCGAGATAATCCAATCAAGAACATGTCTTCGACAGAAGATATCCTAACAAAGGTCAGCAATAGAGCTTCCTAGAACTTATTATCTAGGTATTTGACGCTGTAAAAGGTTATCGTTGAAAACCCCACAACTGGTGTGCTGCAGCCTTTGAATGGCACGGCCCCGCTCGAAAAACGAAATGATCCTTCAAGGATGCAAGGGTATTAGCGAAGTATCTAATTCCACTAAGCTTGATGCTGACATTGACCTTAACCAGAGCAAACATCTCAAGCGGCTTCGACCACTTTACAGAGGGCAACCTATAAGCATAGAAGACGATCTGCTGGGACGACGCCAGAGTCTGCATCGCACAGATGCTCAACGTTAGCTTCAGGTATGTAGTATCTTGAGCCTATCACGAAACCACCACCACGAAGAAGCAAAGCTCGAAGGTCAGCTTCGACCAAGACGACATTGAAAATGGGGAACGTTGCCCGGTCCATAAGGGTTGTGGACCATTGCAGGCCTTCACAATGCTGCTGCAGCGATGTGCACATCGCCAACCCTTTTGAACTGTACTCTTCCTCCAACTTATTCTAATCTTGCCATTGAAGGCGCTGTCTGGTGTGTCGCAGGCCCGGATGCGACCAATAGTTGGTTCGGAATGAGAAAGAGGTTGAAGGAGGGGTGGCCCGTTAATGGTACTAGGTCCTGATCGCAGTTGTATGCTCGCTAGCTGTGAAGTGGCATTTGATGTCTATCGAGGTGCCCATGTTCGATCATGGGGAGGGTGCATCTTGGACGACGTGAGGGCATAGCCACGTGGCATGACAGGAACCCTCCATCACATCATAGAACCGGAACCCTGACGTTTCCACATGATCCTTGCGTCCCCCTTGTAGCGGTGCCAACTGCAATCCAGCATTGCTATCTCTTTCGAGCTTGATTGATGCGTTATGTCGTGCAATGCGTCTGCGTGGGGTGGTGAGGTGTGATGTCCGGATAATGTCGCTGCAGGATGCGCGGCTCGAGAGGCCGTCAGGGCTTGGAGATCTGCAAGGCCGGCGGAGTCGCAGTGAGAGAATCGTGGCGGCGGAACAGCGATACGATTCGGGATATGCGAAAGGAAGAATTGATGTAGCTTGGCGATAGCGGCGTACTCCTTTCGCCAACGCTGATGTTGCGGCTGAGGTCGAGAAGACAACTTTGGGTGATGGCTGAGAAAGTCCCCAGATGCTGGGGGACTCTTTCTGTGGGTGGTTATGCTGCAATCTCACGGTGGTTTGTGTTGTGCGCAGGAAGTTTTCGTGATGTTTCAGCGCTGCGCAATTGACGAGAGATGCCGGAAGGGTCTGGTTCGGGTCCCTGCCTGGATCCTGCTGATTAAGACCGCCGAAAGACGGGCGAGTGAGATGTTCACCGGCCACTGGGCAACAATGGCCTGGCTGCACCTTCACTCTTTCTCCAGAGACATGTCCCGGGATGTAGACCGCCTTCCTTCCTCTGTTCCCGGCAACACGGCAACTCTGGACGCAATGGAAACTGCAACGGACGCAGCTGCAGATCACCCGTTCTTGGGGGCTGAGCTTCCCTTCGACTCATCGATCTTGCCAACCGACAATTATGCACGAGGATCTGGCCAGAACAATTGAGCCAGTTCCTGCCACGCTGATCAAAGTCAAGGCAACATGGCCTCCTGCCTCAGAAGGCGCTTTCCCCCTATTCACCTTCTCAGAGTCTCGGCATTGATCTCTGGCGGAAATCACCACCATTTGCATTTTGACGTCTTCAACAACAGCCACCCCGCAGACCTCAGAGCTCCATCACCAGCACCAGTGTAAAGACACCTTCAAGCCTCAGAAATTCGCGCGGTGTATATACAGACTACAACTCTTTATACAAGTCATTCCCCCAACATGACTCTCATTCCGGACGAGGTCCCTGCGACTCCGAGTTCACGACTCGCAGAGCCGGCAGAGTGCTCGCAGAAACCCACCCAAACTCCTGTAGCCGCGACTCCGATTCAGCGCCGAGCTCCCATCCGACTACATACACCTCAGACGCCGCGTGCAGTCCTTTTTGGCACCCCCGCCATGCGCAACAGACCAATGGCCTTTGCTAGAAGGGTTGTTCAGGACTCGAACGACATAGAAGAGGATGAAGAGGAGGATGTCGAGAGTCGGGAGGCTCCGTTGAAGAAGGATCTTGCGGCCGAACGAGTTGCAATCAGAGCTGAGTGGGCTAAGCTGGAGGCAGCTCAGAGGCAGTTGAAGATAAAAGAGCTTGAAGTGGCTCTTGAATTTGCAAAGCTTGAAAACGCCAAGGCTGAAGTTGAAGGTGACCGTCTGAAGGTGGTGGAAATGGCCAGGAGACTCGGCCGCAAGCTTGACGCCCTCCCGGACGGAGAGCAGGAGTGATGGAGTCAAGACGGGGACACCATGCACAGAAAGTTCGGCCTGCCAGGGTGATATACAATACGTGGGTGCAGAGCCCCTCGGCATTCAGCTTGTATCGATAAGTGATCGCTAGTTGAGAATGAATAGATAACGCCTATGACCTCTACAAGACCTAGTGCTTTCCTAACGACTGTTCGTGAGGTCGTTTGCGATCAGATTGGCGCGCCAATCTCGTAAAGAGAAGCAAAAAGGGTGGGCCAGGCGGAAGAGCATCATATGCAGTAGTCTTGGACGCGAGGCGTCATGGGTTATCAACCCCTGGGCTACAGACCAAGGTCACGTACCTTAAAGACATTCACTTTCTCAAATCTTGGGGCATTGCATGGCAGGATTGGACCTACCACCCCCCAGTTATCGCAAGGTACTGCGTGCACACTCCAGCAAAACGACTTGGCATTTTGCAGTCTTAAGCCGTTAGAAGCAAGAACGCAGGGCGGGAGTAGTAATACGGCGTCAGTCCTTCGACTTGCCTCGCTTGTCGCCATTACGCTGATCCAAGCTTGAGGGAGGACGCCTTTAAGGACGAGGCCAGAACATATGGAGAATTGCCGTCGGCATTCTTAAGATGCGATCTTTGCTCGTTCAAAGATTGTTTATGAAATACGTGACAGTCAAGGGTCGTGTCTTACAAGTCTTGAGTAGACTGCTTTCCGCTTTACTTAAAGTGACGACGGCCACGCCCGCAAAATCTAGATTTACCTGGAGGTTCATCAGCAGGTTGAACGCGTTCTGAGGAGGCTTCGCCTTCTTCATTACCAAGCTCCGGCGAGTCTGCACGAGGATAGAGACCGCTTATTAACGACTCTTTCAAATGGCCTTAAGCTATATTTCAGCGAAGGAAATGAAGTACTTGGATGGTTATAAGCCTTGCTGTGGGCTTCTGACCCTAAACTCATTCAACCAGGTGTTTTGGAAGACAGATCTTGTCCAATGATTGGTGTACCCTTGCGGGCTCCGCCCCTGAGGAACACTTTGCGTGAAAAGCGAGATCTAACCGGATCCTAAAGCTACTGGACTGTAGTCCTGCCCTTCAGCAGACTGAATGAACCTTGCGCGACTTAGAAGGACGAACGCTGTATTCATTTCGACTGACAGGGCGATCTGATCTTATACGACATGAGCTGCGGCTGCTACTCTAAATGTGCCGGTGCAGTCGCACCGCGAAAAGGCCACAGCAAGAGAAGCCCTTGTTGAGGAAATCGAATAACAGAAACTCAAGGCCCGAACTCTAGACGACTGGGACAAAGAGACAATCTTTCTGCTTTTCACAACAATTCCCCTAGAATGTTTTCAAACATATTTTTCTAAGCTTATTGCCCGCTTCTCAATGTACGTTCCTAAAGCGAAATGGTCTTAAGAGCTGGTGGCAACCAAATTAGGTGTCGGAAGGGTGAAGCTATGAGGTGTCCCTTGCTGGCGAAAAGGCTGCAACTCTTACCGGTATGCAGCTGGTCTTGGAGGCATACCGCTGCAATCAAGGTCGCAACTTATGCTTAATGTTTATAAGCCTTTTAAATAAGGCCATTTTAGTGACGCCTATAGGAAGCTTGCCAGAGCGTTAAGAAACCTTTGCTGGTATTTGTGCGTCGACTTCGCGACTGCTGTAGCCTCCACTCCAACTCGGCCGGTATCAGGACTATAGTGCCTGAACGTGCGCCTCCCGGCGGCAGACTGAGAATAAGAAATTCTAGAAGGGAAGAAATACAGGCGTATAATTTTCTTTCAAACATGTTGCTGACCCCTAGTATTTAGAAGATAACTGCTGCGGGAGATCACAGCCCTCCATCAATTCGAGCATCGTTGATGCTGCTCATGAAATCGGCGGAAGTTGAAGCGGACCAGTTGACCGCGCCTACAACAGGAGCGGCAACCTGTCTTGTGCATACAAAATGGTAGACTAAGGTAAAAGTCGCAGGGGTAGAGACTGCGAGACATGAAGTGGCCGTGGTTTGTGGGTGAGGCAGCTTCCTGGTATAACATGGGTCTGGACGAGCTGTCTCTCTGGTAAAAGCCGACCCTGTCAACATGCTAAAGGTGGAGAGAATGCAGGAACCAGGCCACATTAATGCAGTCGCAACCTCTACAGGCTCTGAAGCCCGAAGTTGATTGCCAATCATGAGCACGTTTCTTGTGCGGCGGTCTTCGCGCTGTCAGCGATGACCAGAGACCTCCAGCGTCCTTGCAATACCACCGCTTTGGGCGATCCCAGCGATCTTGCTAAGGATGTCTACTCAGGCTACGCCGAAGACCTTGAGCATTCGCTCAGCTGAGCTGTGACAAGTTGGACTCTTGCGCCCTACCTAAGACTGTGTGTCCTGTTCAGCAATTTACGACGGGGAATGCACAGAAACCGTGAAGTTCTTACATGGCACAAGCAGCTTTGAAATATCTGCGATCGTGTGTAACGCAGGGAGCCTAGATGCACGTTGAATGTGGCACCAAGCTTGTGATGGCTCAGACCTCACACTCATTACTAGGCAAAATGTGAGGTCTGTCTAGTGCTTCGTAGAGAATGTGAGGTCTGTCCACTCTGTTCAAACCTCACAATTCTTAGTGAGCAGAATGTGAGGCCTCGGCGCTTTGTCCACAGCTCACATTTCTTAGTGGCCAGACTGTGAGGTCTGTCCGCCAACCGGGCCTTCCAGGTATGCAGAGTGTGAGGTCTGTCCACTCTATCCAAACCTCACAATTCAGTCCTTCCGGGTGTGCGGAGAGTGAGGTCTGTCCACTCTGTTCAAACCTCACAATTCGTAGTGGACAAAATGTGAGGCCTCGGCGCTTTGTCCACAGCTCACATTTCTTAGTGGCCAGACTGTGAGGTCTGTCCGCTAACTGGGCCTTCTAGGTATGCGGAGTGTGAGATCTATCCACTAACCGGGCTTCACATTTTTGAGCGGGCAGAGTGTGACGTCATTATATTTCGTCTCCACCTCACGTTTTTAGTGACAAGAACTTACTGTATTTTCAATTTGTTTAGATGCGATATTTTCTTTTACATGCGGTGACTACCAGATAATTCACCGTTTATAACACAGATTGAGAAAACATCGACCACTGTTCATTATTCAACCAGGGCGTGGAACAAACAATGCGCCCACTGGCTAAGATTTGATGACACGAAGTGTGTAAGCTAACTTCTATCTGATAGAGAAGGAGGCAACAGCTTATTTATGGAAGTGTTACGGTCAGCTATCCGACAGTAGGGTCTGCTAACAGAAGTTGGGGATTGACGTTTAAACAGTACACTGGGGTCGTGGTCGTAGGTCGTAGGTCGTAGGCTGTAGTAGATCAAGTCTTCAGAGGCTAAGGTGATCA